TTTGTGAAAGACGGTCTTTCTAATCGATTGGCCTTAACGGCCCTATTCCTTAGAGGCAAATTATTTTGACTGCCACCGGCAATGGATCTAAACCATACATATTCGTCACTATATTTGCGAGTCCAATAGCTTTACGCTTGTTGTTTTGGCGCTGTATATCTTCTTTAGGGGCTTCAGAGAAAGTATCTTCATGATCATGATGTTTAGCTTTGCTTGTACTTGGTTGATCATCATTTAATCATCATTGCTGGTTTTGTTGATTAACTGATGTAAAAAAATTTTTTTGTATTTTTACAATTTTTGGCCCACACTTTGGGAAACGTTGTACTAAGCATTCTTTATCCAAGGAGCTACCACCATTGCCATTTTCTTCAACACTTTTCTTATAACTAATAATAATAATTAAAAGCGATGAGTCATTCCCGTTTCTCATGGTTAATATAACTCCTTTATTGAATTCTTATTTTGTGTTTTAGACTGGACAACTTCAAGAATACAAAGAACGCAAACGAATGAACACCGACGTAGTTTGTATGGCATTGGCGAATGTAGCTCCTGGAGAATTACGTTCATGGTTTTTAGCGGTTGGTTTAGCTGATAACACCGTAAAAATAATTTCGTTAGATCCAAGTGATTGTTTATCACAAAGATCAATGCAAGCTTTACCAGTTTGTCCAGAATCTCTTTGTATAGTACAAATGGGTTGTACAGAAAACGATCCGAAAGATGCAGCTGCTGCAAGTACAGCAAGTTCTTTATACTTAAACATTGGGCTTCAAAATGGGGCTTTATTACGAACCGTTCTCGATCCTGTAACGGGAAATTTAACAGATACGCGTACAAGATATTTGGGTTCAAGACCGGTTAAATTGTTTCGAATAAGAATGCAAAAATCTGAAGCTGTTTTGGCGATGAGTTCGCGATCTTGGTTGAGTTATTATTATCAAAGTCGATTTTATTTAACTCCGTTATCTTATGAAAGTTTGGAGTACGCGTCTGGATTTAGTTCTGAACAATGTCCTGAAGGAATTGTGGCGATATCAACAAACACTTTAAGAATTTTGGCTTTAGAAAAACTTGGAGCTGTTTTCAATCAGATTTCGTTTCCGTTGGAATATACCCCAAGGAAATTTGTTATCCATCCAGAAACTTCTACCTTAATTATGTTGGAAACTGAACATAACGCATACACTGAAGAAACTAAAAAACAAAGGCGATTGCAGATGGCCGAAGAAATGAAAGAAGCTGCTGGAGAAGAGGAACAAGAGTTAGCCAAAGAAATGGCTGAAGCGTTTTTGAATGAAGATTTACCTGAGAATGTTTTTTCAGCGCCTAAAGCTGGGCATGGAATGTGGGCGTCTGTGTTAAGGATTATGGATCCTGTACAAGTGAGTTAATTTTATTTTTTTTTGTTTTAATTAATTAAGGACGTGATTATTTAATAATTATTCATTAAGATAATGCATAATTAACATCGTGTCCAAGAAAATAGTGCGTGTACATAGTCCCAAGAGGTCTTTTATAGCTTCTTGGTTTCCAAGTCATGGCACATTTTATTTTTATTTAAAAAAAATAACTCAACAAATTTTTTTTTAAATTTTCAAACATTAATTAAACTTATTTCTTTTTATATTTTAGGGAACTTTATACAAAATGTTAAGATTAGAACAAAACGAAGCCGCAATGTGTTTAACCCTAATTAAATTCCACGGTCAACCAGAACATCAATGGTTTTTAGTTGTGGGAGTCGCAAGAGATTTTCAATTAAATCCGAGACAATGCAACAGTGGTTTTTTGAACACTTACAAAGTGGATATGAATTGCAGAGAATTAGATTTGGTCCATAAAACGCCTCTTGATGAAGTTCCATACGCTTTGTGTTCGTATAATGGGCGATTATTAGCTGGGGTTGGGAAAATATTGAGAATGTATGATCTGGGGAAAATGAAGTTATTACGAAAATGTGAAAATAAGGTAAAAAAACATAAAGATTTGTTATACCAAAATTTTAATTCACTAAAATGATGACAATTACATATTTCTTAATGTTTATTGATGAAATCCTGCAGTGCTGATTTTTTTAAACTACAAAATTAATTTATTTTAATCGATTTTTAAATGTTATAATTAATTGTATTATTTTTTTTAGCACATCCCCAATTTAATAATCGATATCCAAGCGATGGGAAAACGCATTTACGTTTCCGACGTCCAAGAATCAATCTACATGATTCGCTACAAACGTGCTGAAAATCAACTGATTATTTTTGCTGATGATACTCACCCAAGATGGATTACATGCACCTCCGTTTTAGATTATGACACAGTCGCGTGCGCTGATAAATTTGGAAACATATCAATAGTGAGATTACCTCCAAATAGTAGTGATGATGTGGATGAAGACCCCACAGGAAATAAAGCACTTTGGGATCGTGGATTACTAAATGGGGCGTCACAAAAAGCCGATAATGTTGCTACTTTTCATGTTGGAGAGACGGTGACGTGGTTACAAAAAGCTACCTTGATTCCTGGAGGGTGGGAATCATTGATTTATACAACCGTTTCTGGTACGGTTGGTGTTTTGGTGCCGTTTACTTCACATGAGGATCACGATTTTTTCCAACATTTGGAAATGCATATGAGGAGTGAAAATCCACCGCTTTGCGGGCGGGATCATTTATCATTTAGAAGTTATTATTTCCCTGTTAAGGTATAATTATAATTTTAATCCTTTTTAGTATCATTTATTGAAGTGATGATATATTTATTAACATGCTAGACTTATGATTTTATAACTTGATTAATAATACGTTCTGATTTTTTAAACATTTTAATTTTTTTTGTTTGTACTTGGAAACATTACTTTGATTATTATTATTATTTTTAGAACGTTATTGATGGAGACCTCTGCGAACAGTACAACTCATTAGATCCTAATAAACAAAAAAGTATTGCTCAAGATCTTGAAAGGACCCCAGCGGAAGTTTCAAAGAAACTTGAAGACATCAGAACGAGATATGCATTCTAATTTTTTAAAACTAAGTCTTTAAGAGCTTTAATTTTTTTTAATTCATTTTGTAATTTATGTGAAACAGAATATAGTTAGTTTTAGTAATTAAAAATCTATTTATTATTTAACCAATTTATTCCTTATATAGTCGAATGTATATAATCTCATAACCAGTTTTGATTCCCGAAATCCACCGTGTTCTTTTAATCCATATCTCTTAACGCAAAATTGGTTCCATATTTTTGCTAGTGAAGACAACAGTGATGATATTAATGACAACTCTGGAAAATAATTTCCAAAAAAGGCCTAAAGTACCTCCAATCTTTCTACATAATAAATCAAACCATATAGAAATTATTAATGATATCAAAGCGTTAACCACTGCAAAATTTACAACTATTGTCAAAAATAATTCGCTAATAATCAACTTTACGTCTATAAACGATTATAGAACTTTAACTAAATACAGTGTGTTAATTAATTATCGTGCCCGACGTCATCATTGCAAATATGCAACCAATATCACAGTGTTATACGCAAATCGCGTATTGCAATACCAATACTGTGATGTTGGTTGCATACTTGCAATGATGACGTCGGGTAGGATAAACAATTAACACACTGTATTATTACTTCGAGAATTAAAGATGTTACTAGAAAGTTAATTAAACCTCATAGAACTATTCGAACGAATTATTATTTACCACCTAAATATATTCTCGACCTAATCAAAGAAAAAAGAGGGGTCAGACGTAACTGGCAAAGAATTCTGGCTTAAAGCCGAAATTAAATAAACTAACTCATACCATTACCAAAGCTTTAGAATCCCATTAAATTGCTAATTATCTTCTCAGCAATATGAATAATAAAGATCCAGGAATGTGGATAATAAAAGAAAAATACTGAGAAGACACGAAGAAAATCGTACAATTACCTATGAAGGGAATCAGTTCTCCACTGATGAAGGAAAAACTCAAGCCTTTGCTGATTATCTTGAATTAACATTTACTCCTCACATACCTCGAAAAAGCATGTCTTCTTCTGTTATTATTCAAACATATTATAATGAAATTCATCTTCCGCGAATAGAAGGAGTAAATGAGAAAGTAACAAATGAAGAAATCAGATATTTAATTAACAATTTACCCAATAAAAAGGCCCCAGGGCATGACGTTATACCAAATCTAATTCTAAAACACTTCTTTTCGAATATTACTAGCCACTTAACTGATGTCTTCAATTCATGCATCAAAATTGGTAACTTTCCGGTGATATGGAAAAAAAAAGCTGAGACACTAATGTTTTTCAAGCCAAGAAAGAGTCTTACCTATAATTACCGTCCTATAAGCCTCTTACCGACTCTCCCAAAATTGTTTGAAAAAGTTACAATGCGAAGACTTTAAGATCAGCTGCTGGAAAGAAATGTTATCCCAAACATACAGGTTGGTTCTCGAACGGGTCATTGGTACGTGTTACAGAATTTTTAAATGTAGCTAAAGTCTTTGATGCAGTTTGGACGAAAGGATTAAAATTCAAACGATTGCATCTAGGTCTAAATGACTATATTACCGTAATACTGAAACAATATTAAAACAACTATTTTCTCTAATAAATAGAAAAAGTTATCTGAAAACTAAATGCACTCTGATATAGTCTTCTACATGGCGATCGATTTTTATGACTGTCACTTTCCTACTGTAGTTGTAAAACGAACAAAAACGGGGTTGCAACAGATAGTTTCCCATTGTAGAATGCTGGGATTTCTCACGCAGAGTGGGCGCATGTCATCTCTTAGATGACTTTTTAATGTATGCAAAATATATATATATTTTTCTATGGTGCAAAAGTATTAACAGGTTAGTTCAGGCAGACTGTCTACGTCATCTCTTAGATAACATGCGACTATTGGAGTGTTAAGGAACACACTTTATTTGCAAATAGTAGAAAAATGATAGGGTGATATGAATACTCATTATTCTCTTATTTGTTGTGCTTCTGATATTAAGTACATTTTCAAAGAAATGTTTTGAGAAGGCATAATAATTACAAAAGAGGGCGGAGGATAATTAGATTCTTTAAAATTTTGTTATTCTATTATTTAGAGATTCCTAAAAGTAATATTTTTTGTAAGAAACACTTTGAAATAGCTTATGGAAACTACTTATAAAAGAGGACAGGGGAAATTGTCGATGAGTATTTTGTTAAACGCCGTGTGAGAAAAGAAAATGTTTCGTCCGTGGGTAAACGCGTCACCATCTACGAATACTTCGCCAAGACAGTCTTATTCCGAAGACAATAAAAGGATTGTTGTTAACGTTTACGTTAAATTACAAGAAAAAAAATTGTTCTGCTGCGTGTAAAGTTACCAGTGAATTGACAATTGCGCAATTGGAGAATAGAGAATCTGCAAGCGATCGACCCACTAAAGCTTCTCAGCTTTTTTAAAGAATTCCGGATACTTACAACGGAAGTAGAAATACCTTATTCTGAAGAGCATTTTCGACTATATCTTCGAACAACTGGATTTAACTACAAATCACTGAACGGACGAGCTCATATTACCGAAACTCCCCGGCTAAAAAAATGAAATTTTTTGAACAAATTAGGAAAGAAGTTAAGTTGACATTCCAATCGAATACGTAATCGATGGCACCTTACCATTGTATTTTGAACCCCATAGAATTAATCTAGCAATATAAAGCGAAATACATATTTATTCAACCTTCCAATTAGGGAGGGAGTTTTGCCGCATCCTGTATTAGAAAACATAATTCAGCTCCAACCTTAAGCGCCAAAGTGGTGGATTTAATTCGTCAAGAGGTTGACAACATACCAGCAGACGCAGCATACGCAGCAGGAACTGCATAAAACACGTAAAATACGTAGAAAATTCTTATGTATCGCCAAATATTCAACGATTTATTATAGATATCGAAAATGAGAGTTCCGATAAAAGCAGCTTTGAAAATGATGATAGCTGTGATAGTGACGACAATTAATTAAACTTTAGCTAGTATTTAAACTAGTATTGACTTTTATACTAGTTTTTATAATTAAATTATAGTTGTTATAATTAAACTTTGGTTTTTAATAAAATTTTAGTTTAAAAAAAGTTCGATCCTGTCCTTGTCTGTCATAAATCTTTTCAGGTACTCGAGCGGGCAAAAATCACCCCGGCTTTTATTTATGACTGTCATAAAAACCGATCTCGATGTGGAATACTATATTATATAAAGCTTTAATAAGAGCTTTGAAGCCGTCTTATTAATGTAAATATGAATTCAACAATGAAGTAACATGTTTTAATGTACATTGAGATGGTTTAAATAAAATCAAAAAAAAATTAATTCCTTAACTCAACTTTATTTCTTTTATACAATACATCAAATTTGGTTGATTCATACAACTTGGAATACGTTTCTTAACGATATTTTCACATAAAGGAACCACACTTCGAATCGTTTTAAGACTTTCCGAGTAATCTTTAACGATTTCGTTGAAATCGCTCAATACGATTTTAACATTTGGGTCTTCGGTTAAAAGAAATTTTTGATAATTTGCGTCTAACAACATGCTTCCCCATTCAATTAATCTTTTTTCGGTTTCCATTTCGTCCAATTTCGGCAAGTTGTGTCCATCTTGAGATAGTAAATGAGAAATATATTGGATGAGATATAAAGTGGTTGCGATGTCAAATTCTCGTTTTAAATACGGCATAATTAAAACTTCACTAATTGGAGTTGATAAAATGATATCAATTAATTTAAAATTAGGTGAATTATTAAATTCATTTTTTTCTTTTAGTTCTTTTTGAATAAAATAAATTAATAAGGTAACAAGACATTTTTCGCTTAAATCTTTGAAGTAACCTAAACATTCCTTTAAACATTCAATTTCGTCGTTTTCCATATACAAAGGAATTAGATGATTTGAAATGTCAACTTCGGAAAGTCCTTGAACGAATAATTCTTTAACTTTCTTTTTAATCCTCTTAGGAATTTTATAATTAACTTGAACTTCCTTTTCGTTTTCTAAATTTGCAATTATCACGCTTTGTTGGAGATCGGTATCGGTTAAATCAATCTTGTGACTTCCGACTAACGCGGATAAATGCTCCGTGTTTATAAAGAAAGGAACAACTGCTAAATGTTGGCCTGAACACATAAACAAATAGTTTTCAATACACCAAATTTTTTTGGCTTTCGAAAACAATTTAAATGACAACATCGATTGACCCACTTTATACTGAGTGTTGTAAATAATTAATTTCGCCCCTTCTTGATTTCGATCAGCCCCATAAATCGCTATGTTGTCGTTACTTATCGGTGTTAAAGCTGCAAAGTGAGACGAAGAAATCGATTCAATTGTTGCAAAGATATCACCGAGATTACAACTTTCTTTTTTGCTATTATTAATTTGTAATGAATAAAGTTTGTTGTCGGACCCTAAAAGAAATTAATTTTAGTTTAATTTTTTAATAAAATTTGTTTCTTACAAAACGATAAGAAATTTATGGATTTATCATGCAAACGACACAAAGTGTATCCCGATAACTCAACATTATCTCGTTTTAATTCAATCTGTTTTAAAAGATGTTGAACTCCGTTCGAAATAACCATTAAATAAAGAATTTTTTTATTATCATTATTGACAATTAATCCGAAGAAAACTTCATTTTCACTTTGTATTTGTAAAACATCCACGATTTCTTCGTTCTCCTTAAAAATCTTTTCAAATTTTAATTGTTTACGTTCATTAATGCATTGTGTTAAAGGAAAGATGTTTCCGTTCTTAAAAATAATGAACGATTCTTCCCCAATGCTTAATAACGTATGAATTGGTTCATTAAACTAAAAAGAAATCCTATTATAATAACGTNGAAAGATGTTTCCGTTCTTAAAAATAATGAACGATTCTTCCCCAATGCTTAATAACGTATGAATTGGTTCATTAAACTAAAAAGAAATCCTATTATAATAACGTCAAATAATTAAAGTTATGGTATAATTCAAGAATCATCATGTCGCTTAATATTTTTGAATCGACGGGAAATCACTCAAGTAAGTCGTTACAAATAAAAAAAGTGTGGAAAAGTGTAAAACTTTCCGAAAAATCACTTTAAAGTTTCGACGTGACGTCACTTTTTGTGATGTAATCGACAATGGTGATGACAGTAGGTAGCGCTAGTTAGTATAAGACAGGGCTGTCCAAAACACGGCCCGCGGGCCACCTGCGGCCCGTGATTTATTCATTTTTAATGGTTGTCATTTGATGCGTGTTGTGTAGTAACTAATTAGTAATCGTAGTGATTGTGTGTAATTCGAGGTTACTCCTTCATTACCTTCTCGGTGTCATTATTTCTCACTACACTGAAAATCGTGCAATTAATGAAAAATGCGAATTAGACTATCTGATCTGCAACAATAACAATTATATTCAGTGTATCATTTGTATGCAAGTTTTGACGGTGAATAAGGAATACAATGTGAAATGGCACTATACTACTTTGCATGAAGAAAAGTATAAAAAACATATCAGTGAAGCAAGAAAAACTATGGTAGCCGAGTGTAAAAAAAATCTAATACATCAAACAAGTATATTTTCAAAAGCAAGTACAAATAATGAACAAAGTTTGGCTGCATCTTATGAAGTTTCTTTATTATTAGCCAAAGCAAAAAAACCATTCAGTGATGGGATTTTAATGAAAAAATGTGCAGTTTCAATGGCTCAACGCTTCATGCAGCCAAAGTTGGCGGAAAAGTTTGAATCTGTAGCATTATCTCACCAAACAGTGGCGAGACGAGTAGATGATATGGGCGAATATGTAAACCGACCAGACAGATATCAGTCAATTATTAATATTTATTCGTTGCATTTCAAAAGATTTTACTATTACAGAGGAAACGTTAAATTTGATAAATTCCGTTACACGGAACAATTAAAGGCGCTGATATCTTTATAGCTCTCAATAAAACTGTAATAGACTACGGAAGATTTTAAAAATGTTCTTGCATTGTAACTGATGGAGCAAAAGCTATG